CACACACACACACACACACACACACACACACACACACACACACACACACACACACACACACACACACACACACACACAAAAACACAGTTTCTTCAAGAATTCTCAGCTGATGCATGAAATGGACTAAAACAAAAATGTAGTTTTAGCACAGATTGTTTTAGCAGTTTAGATGTGTCTGTCATTAAATGTTCCTTTAAATAAGAATAAGGTCTGTTGTCCTTATTTACCCCTAACCATTTACATGTCCTTTTAAAAACTTTTAATACAATAAAAATAATGACCATAAAAAAATCTAACACATTGGCATTTTTAAAAGATTATGTTAAGAATCTTATCAGAATTTACCTTTGTTATTATGAGGGGGAYTCAGGAGTTTTAAAAATGAACAAGATTTTGGGAATTACAAGATTATAGGGCTATTTGATAACATAATTATTTACGTATACTTAACGAAGATCAGCTCTTTCAAATCCCTTACCAACAGGATTCTTTCAGAATGTGCTACCAGGAAGGCAAAGTAGAAACATTCTTTGATCACTCTAAAAATAACCATTATAAAGCTAAACTATGATCCGATTGTCTGGCTGTCTTTACATCATTTCCTTTTTGTGTTTTCTCAGGAACTGAGCAGAAGAGTCTCTGACTCAAGAAGATATGCTTCAGTCTCCAGGGCCAGGATGATCACATCTAATGGCCTTGTAAAAAAAATAATTAAAAAGACATTAAAATGAAACAAAACAAAACCTGTGGTAYAAGATTGAACACTATTAGGAAAAACTTGCAACATTATTTAATKAAGCAGTAATTACTCACAATAAATCAACATTTGCTGACATCATACTTTCTGTGCATGCAGACAGCTTTAGGGCAGTAGAATCCTTACACAATAATCTAATGGAGGTCACATTTATGTGAATGACCACGCAAAATCTGCAATGTGATCATGGCCAAAACCAGGACATCAAGATCAGTAACAGTTTGTTGGATTATCAGAATGCAGACTATGAATGCACGGTACGTGAAATATAAAGGCAAATGCTTTATTGAAGTCTAAGTGGTTTTAAAACTCGTTTTTACACGTGGCCAAAATAGATAAATAAAAAAAACAGTTCTGTTCAAGAGCCAGCCTTGGTWAACATTGATTTGAAAATGAATTAAACAAATCTGACATATTTCCCCAATCAGCTTTTCCCCCCAGATTAGTGAGCTTGAGTCCTGAAAACTCTCAAGACTGAATAAAGTTGGGCTTCATGGGGAGAAAATCACAAGTATTTTGTTGACAATCCTGAGGTCCTGAAACCATTTCTGTCACTGCAAAAGTTCCTGATCCAGTTGGAGGGGGAAACCATTTTGAAACTAAAGAGGGGTGTGTGTGTGGACTCTAAACTGTTGAGCTCTGTACAGATGTTACTGATTTTCAACCTTGTACAAAACTATATTAACATACAATTCAGGCGGCAGCTGTGGTCAAGATTTTATTTTATTAGAAGCACCAATGTCTCTGAAAGGAACTGCTAGTTTGTTGAGTTTTAGGAAGTTTAAGATTAAAATGAACATAGTGCATGTAACAATGACTGTTTAATCCCTCACATGCAGTCACACAGATTACTTTTTTATGAAGCACAGCACGCTTTTTTTCTACTGTGCTGTGATATAATCATTGCCAGGGTTTGGTGTAGAGCAGCAAAACTGTTTTGATTACGCCCAATAAAGTGCAGACTTTGGCCCAGCCAACATTTGTCACACTCCTAAGCACACCACCTGGATGGGCCTCTCAGGCCTAGCTTCACAGGTGGCTGTCAAGAAAATAAAAGCACAAGTTTAAAGGAAGAAGAGGAAAAAAAAACATGTGCAGTAGAGAGTGACAAGGGTTTGTTTGATCAACTAACTGGCCACAGAGTTATYCAAATCGGGTGGCTTTTTTACTGGAAGTCACCTAGGCCTCTAGAGACTGTCTCCTCCCTGTAATGAGCTGACAATCTGTGCACTGGACTCCTAAACACCCAGGTGAGAAGCCCCATTAGCAGACACACACTCCTTTCAGGATGAAGGTGTTTTTGTGTGAGGAATGCGAGCTGTCTGCTCCCCCCCTTCTGYCCCAGCTTACCGAGAAGCAACAGTTTCAGCTCCCGGCGTGCGTCCCTCTTATCCCGGCGGAGCTGCCTTTCGATCTCGTCGTTGATCCGCCGGGCTTCCTTCGCCTCCTCGCTGAGGCAGCACGCCATTATGGATTCCAGGGTCATTCTCGATCCTTTTCTTTTAAAACACAAACAATTCCGCTTTCTCCCCTCTTACTGAGTCATCCAGATTTCACATTCGTCGGGGAGGGGGTGGTGGTGAAAACCAGAGGCCTGTGAATGTCAAAATAACGTCCTCATACAGGCCTGTTTTCCTGGGTGAAAACACGCGTAACAAGGTCCAGACTCCTGGAGAGGGGAGTGTTTTAATATTTCAGAATTTACCGACCTCCTGCTCTCTCTGTGTCCCGTGTTTCGGTTCGCTTTACGGGCCTTTTTTCAAAAACGGTGCAAGTCTTAACTGGGTGTAAAGCTGTTTTCCGTCTCAAATATGATCAACAGATCGTTTTAACACACATCCTTCAGTCTGTGTGTAATCTCGTTTTAGGCACTGTCGTCCATGCCTTTTCAAAAACAAAACAAAAAAGTCCTCGAGGTTGATTTATAAATATGTATATATATATTTTTTATTTCCCTGACCACTAAATATACCTCGTCTTCATGTCGGCATTSGAGTGGGGCGGCGGGGGAAAGCCATGAAACAGATATGTCCGTTTGTTTTCCAGTGGCTCCACTCCCGGGCGTGGTGAGGCAGAAATATGGCGGACTTTCACTCCAATCCGCTAGGCTGTGTGGGAAACAGTTATCTCGCCGTGTCGCCACGATGTTTTTCAGTCGGAGCCTTCCACACGCGGCGGCGAAGGGACAACAATAAKAATACCTCAGCTCGAGCTAAATAAATATTTTAAAAAAAATCAAGCCGCTCCTGTCCGCGGCGGAGTGAGGGAAAAACTGAACGAACGACACCGTGTTGCTGCTGCCTCTCCTCTCACGCCCCCTCCTCCTTSTCCTCCGGCGGCCAATCTTCTCCTTTTCCTCGGTTCTCCTCACGTAATTTCATTAGAGGCCATCCACTCCTCCGGCGGCGAGGTGACGTCGATCTCCCATCGACCAGGGGGGCGTGTCACGTGAAAGTAGTCCCCCCCCCACCCCTCCGCCAACCTGTGCGGAGTAAAAAAAAAATATGTGAATGGAAGATGTTGAACCCTCAGCTCCATGGACAGGGGGTGTTATAGAGCAGTGGTTCCCAAACTTTTGACCTTCTGACCCACAAAATATCCATGGCAAAAACTTGTGACCCCAAATATTACTGGTCTGAGTACACAAATTTCGTTAATAACCCTAAAAACACAGGCTTTTTATCAATCTAAACAGCATGTACACAAATATAAATACTTATTTTTTACTTATTCTGTGTTTTTGTAATAATTATAGGGAAAATATTACATCAGCAATTATTTTATTACCCTTTAAATTGATTTCTGGAGATGATCCAAGGTGCTTCATGACCCATAATTGGGTCCCAAGCCCAACTTTGGGAACCAAAGTGCAGCGGTTCCCAAACTTTTCAGCTTTTGACCCACAAAATAACTGCAACAGAGACCTGTGCCCCCAGMTATTTTTGGATGATAAACATTTGTATCAGGTCAACTAAACATGGGCATAGAAACAGTATTTTATACTACATTTATCCATTTTATACTAACCTCACTCCTTTGTAACAACTATGGCAAAAATGTAATTAATTCAGAAAATCTTTTCAGGACCCCACCTTGATGTTTCAGGACCCCACTTTGGGTCCCGACCCCAACTTTGGGAAACACTGTGTGTTGCTGAGTTTGTGGGTTTATTGGTTGTTCTGTAATGTCATGAACCAGAGCAATAGAAAAAGTTTTTTTTAGAAGGTTCAGGAAAATTTGAATGGTTGACTGCATATTGACGAACAGGAAAGAGGATTACTACGAAAGAGGATTAGCTACCATTTAAAAATAGTAGGGTACTTTTTTAAAACCAGAAATCTGATTTTATTCCCAAAGTTAAATCTGAGATCGAAATCAGAATTCTGACTTTTTTTCCTCAGAATGCTGACTTTAAACATAGAATCTGAAAGCAGAACTCTGAGATTAGACAGAACTCTAACTTTTTTCTAATTCTGACTTTCATTTCAATTTCAGTATTCTGAGAATAAAATCAAGATTTTGAAAAAAAGTCAAATATCCAAGATGAAGTCAGAATTCTGACATTTTCAAAGTTTTAAAAATAAAAAATTCCACCGTGGCTCTAGTCCTCTTCCATCWAACCCATAGTGGAGGTTAAGCTTTAACTGTCGCTGCAGCAGAACCAATAATAAGCACACCAGGATGCATTCAAACAGTACTGCAATAAGCTGTGAAGGTCATTTATGTTCTATTTTTATAGAGACTGGGAAGTGTTCATTCGTTCACCTCCACAGTCAGAACAGCACTCACTGTTAGTGTGATTTTGTTAAACAAAACATCTTCAAAAGTTCCCACGGCTAACAAGCTTTGAAACTCCAATATGGATCCAAGAAGACAGGTTCCATGGAAGAGATGGGAGATTGCACCCATATATATATATATATATATATAGTTTAAATAGAACATAAACTCTCTGTACCCATATATTATTGAAATGATTTCATCATTTTTTCACATGCTACAGGTCAGAAAGAAAAACCAAAATGCCTGACAAAAACGCATTTAAGACTAACAAAAAACTGCAAAGTTAAAGATGAAGAAGAAACAAATAAACTCTGAGTACACACATGAAGACTGAAACGTTGGAAAGAAACCTCAATAACAAAAACAACCCGCACAAAATGACCGCTCAGGCGACCCAGAAATTACATGCTACACTATATTATCTCACAAAGTACACAGCAAAAACCACTGTTACACACACTAGACACACACCAAACCCAAATGGTGCAAAATTACCATAACAGCACATGGGTTTGTACAAAAGTTTTGAGTCATCCCTGATTTCTTTAGATTTTGCTTCCAAGCAGACAAAATGTTTTGTAATTTCTGAAAGTGGTCTCGATCGTTATTTCTTCAAGGTCTCTTGAAATTGTTTTCTTTGGACTTTGGCTGCATTTTCACTCATTTTCAGTAGTATACCTGACCATTTTTAGGAGAATGTAATTTGTTTGCTTTGCCATTCAACTTTGCTCCATGAACTCCTGTGTTTTGTCTACACTTAGCAGATATTAATTGGATCTGTAGGTCTTTTACTAGCAGCTTGCTCACTTATCCTTTGCTAAATCTACAAAAAAGGCAAAAAAAAAAGGCAATAATAGGGTTTGACACAAGACATATTCTTGTAGCAGGTGGTGTTTCCCAAAGAGTTGTTAGAGAAAACATGACCAAGTGGAGGATGAATCTTTGGTGGATTTTTCATTAGATGTTTTAGATCAGGGGTGTCCAATCCTGGTCTTCTCAAGCTGTATCCTTCAAGTTTTACTCGTTTCTCTGCTCCAACCCTCCTGATTCAGTCATTGAATTACCCRTTCATTCAAATCAGGTGTGCTGATGCAGATAAACCTCATGCAGGATAGTGGTCCTCGAGGGCCGTCCCTGTTGTTTTTATGGCTTTTTTTGCTCTCCACTTATTAATTTGTTTTTATATTTCTACAAGCTGCAGAGCAAAGAAAACATGTGAAAGGCCTCCAGAGAGCCCAAAGAATTACTAATCAAGACCACTTTTAAAGATAACAAGAAAGTCTGGCTGTTTGGAAGCAAAATAATAGGGTTGGTTTAAATTTGTTGTATTGTAAATCTAAGCACAATACCACAACAACAAATGCATGAATTCATTTTTTTTTTGGACAACTGTGTTCGTAAATCAAAAACTAATCTTGTATCTTCCATAAACACTTGTTCAAACAGTATAGAACAATCACCCTGGTCTAAAACCAAATGATGATAAAAACTAGTTTTGGCTCTTTTTTATAGTCTGTGAATAACTTCCCTCCTTTCTTTCTCACTAGGTCATGTGTTCTACCAGTAACAGTGTCTCAACAGTGAATTACTTCTTGTTTTTTTAATGAAAATTCTAACAATAAGAAAATATTTAACATTTGGGAAAAGTTATCTTAAAGTTCATCTATAGTTTCAGGTGATTAGAAGCTTTGACACAAACAAAAAGTTAAAATTGGGGTCATTTCCTGAAGGTTTTCAGTTGAGTTGATTGTAACCTACAACTATGGCCCATTTAGGTCTTGAAAATCGGGACACCCTCATTCATACCTGCTTAATTGCTTGTAATTAGTTTGTTTGAATCTAGTTCATGGAGTACATGCCACTGTTATCTCCATAATAGCAGGCAAAAATATTCTGCTGAATTTGAAGACATGGCCTGAAAAGAAAAATGCTTCCATTAGAAGTGATGCTAGCTATCCAGGGATCTGTACAAGTTTTTTTAGAGGGTCCGGTGGCGCCGATGTATGGCAGCCCCACCTCTGTCAGTGTGCCCCAGGGCAGCTGTGGCTACAGTGTAGTTTGCCATCATCAGTGTGTGAATGTGAGTGTGAATGGGTGAATGTCTGTAAGTGTAAAGCGCTTTGGGGTCCGGAGGGACTTGAAAAAGCGCTCTATAAGTTCAGTACCATTTACCATTTACCATTTTTTTTTACATCATTGCAGCTTAGGGATTCTTTCAGCCTGTTTTTGTAATGAAGGTCAAGCTCACCAAAGGGACGCAGAGCCACAGGTCGGTAACATTTTAACCTGTATGTGCTAGTCTGCATAATTGCATTTAACAAAGGGATTCTGTTCATTTGGAGATAAAAACAGAACACGCATGTTGAGCATATTTCAAAGAAGCCAATGCTTTTGAAGGAACTAAACAAATCTTGATGTATTTCTATGGGTAAAATGTTTGCAAGGGGTGAAAATGTTAAAATAAGTGACAAAAAGAAAAAAGAAAAGAAAGAAAAGTCATAGCACCAATGTCCTCAATGAGCTGAATGCTAGATGGCTGGATGAAAAAAAACCCCCCAAAGTATGCAGAAGTGGTGAAACAACCCAGTAATAATAATAATAATAATAAACCCAACTTTTATTTTGTAAGAAGACGCGCTTCAGACCACTTCCTTCCGCCCGTCACCGGACACCGCCCTCGCCTGGATACGAGGAAAGCGTCGCTGTTCGGTCGCTACGGAGACACGAGTGGTTGTATGTAGTAGTAAAGGCTCTTCTATGCACTTTCCCGCGCAGTTAAGGCGTCACGTTATCATGGCTGTTCGTGGAAAACAAGTCGCCGTCATCTCAGCAACGACTTTAATAACTCTTAACACGCTGTTGCCTCTAGTTCACTGATTTTTACTTAGCATGAGCGCGAGCTTCTGACCCCCGGCTGGAGGTCAGCATCGCCCGGCGACCACACCTCCTGGCGAGACAGGTAAAAATGTGTTGCTCCGGTTCTGCGAAGCTGTGCGTGAATGAAGAGTTTTCAAACTTTATGAAATTGTTAAATTCCTTTTGTTGTGTAATGATGTCAGCACAGTTCATAGCAAGGTGCTTTCGAGTGACTAAATCCTTGTAATGATGCGGCGCTAATAGGATTTGAGCTCTCTCCTTCCTGTCGCGCGGCGGAAGAGTTCGCCGGGATAACGAGGGCGGAGCTTAGCTGGGAAAGTGGTGTTTGTGTGCTAATGGTTTAATCTCACTGTGATGATGAACACACAGCTCTGTCTGCACTTTTCACACAGCCGTGATTTATATAAAATGCTGTAGGAATCCACTTAACTGGGTCTTTGTAGTGTATAGTACTATTTTAACAACAAGGCCTGCAAACATTAAAAACTTTCATGACCACTTTCATCTTTAAGCGATTTACATGTTGTGCAAGAGTTGTTGTTTTTGCCCCAATTTGATGGTTTTGTGTCTGTTTTTAATTAGTGTGGCAGCAGGTTTCTAAGCAGACATGGGCAAACTTCAGAGCAAGTTTCGTAAGAGGTCTGAGCTCTACAGGTAAGCCAAAACAGTAGTGTTTGTTTCCTTATTTGGACTACACAATTGTTTTTAGATATAAAAATAAGTTTGCATGATCTTATGTGCATTATGTGATTTGACAAAAACAGCTACAACTCCCTCATTTCTTAACATAGGAAGATCTTAGTTTAAAACTCTGGCATAAAAGACAACTAAACAAGTTAGAGCTACAAATGTGTGTGTGTGAATGTCTAACTTTGTTTTATTATAACCTTCAAGACTTGTGTTTTAAGGCATCTGATGCTTTGTTTGATAAGTAACAATTTTGTGTTCTGGTCCTGATATAGTAAACTTTGAATAAATGATTAAATAAAAGCAAAGCTCTATGATCTGCTTTTTAGATTATCTTCATCTTATTGTACCATCATAATAAAAATGCAGCTTGTAAATGAAAACAATCTGTGAATGTTTAGGAGAAACTATGTTAAAGATTAGATCATTTTTTCCAACTAAAATTAAAACGTGCAAAACACGACCGAAATTGGATTTTAGAATTGTTAATGGGTCAAATATTCTGTTTTTTAAAGCACTATTAAAATGTATTTCTGTGTTTATTTATTGTCTATTATTGCTGATGTTTGGTGCAGAGCATCCCAGGGGGAGAAGGCTGACAGTCCTTTGGACAGTCAGGTGTTACAGTATGAACCTGCTCATCATGGATCCATCAACACTGTGACCAACCTCAGCCCAGACCTGTGTGTTTCCGGTGGCAGTGACCAAGTAAATAGACATTGGTTTTAAATTTATTCAATATTGATCCACAAATTCCAAATGAACGCACATCATCGATTATTATCCAACCACCCTCATCTGACCTTTTAAAAAAGTTTGCAAATCACAAATTTAATTGTGTTTGGAAACAGTCGAAGCTCACAGATTAACACGCTTGCGTCGACCCTGTAGGCTGTCGTGGTGTATGACTGGAAACAAGGCCGGATGTGTCAGTCTTTCCAGGGTCACAACAGAGAGGTTACCAAGGTAAAGTCAATACTGTGTGCACTGATAAAGGTGTCACACATTTCTCACACRCGCACATCCTCTGGCCCTTTTCTCCCCTGACGTCTGCCTCTGTTTATCCTCCAGGTCATTTGTTATCCTGGCAGCACATGGATCTTCAGTGCCTCGCGGGACAAAACTGTTCTGATGTGGGACCTGAACCAGGGAGATGAGCCTATTCAGGAATATTGTGGGCACGAGTTGGTGGTCAATGGACTGGCTATCAGTCCTGGTACGCACACCGAAACACTGACAAAGAGCCTGCTTAGTGATTAGTGAATATTTAACTCAGTTTTAGGTTTTTCTTAGCTTTGATTTTTAGTTTTATAAGAATGTAGCACTGTATTTATGTTTGTATGTTGCACTGTGTTCCTAAAACACTTGTTTATAACTACATACCATTTTCATTCTTTGTTCTGTGGTTGAGATGTTTGATTTTTGATAAAAAATAAGTAAAAACATAACAACATGGGGGTACAAAATTAAAGGCATGCTTAGATATACTTTTTGCATCTACTCTGTGCATTAATAAACCAATAGTTATGATATAAAAAGTACAACTTTGTATTTTAAACGTTTTTCCCCCTTTCTTTTACTATTGGTTTATAGATGGGAGAAAGCTTTGCACTGGCTCTCGTGATAACTGGATGTGCCTGTGGGATATAGAATCTGCAAAATGTGAACACAGACACAACATCTCTAGAAACCTGGTGAGAACAACAGCACAGTCAGAGGGTGATACTTCAGCTTTATCTGCTGGAGGGTGGGGTGGCGGGGGGATCAAACCTTCATGCTGGTAAATCCAGTTTGTATCTCTTGTGTTCATTTTGTGTGTTTTCACTCGTGCGTTTGTGACTGTTAAGGTGACTCACGTGTGTTGGGTGCCAGCCAGCTCCTCTATAGTCCAAACCTCTGAGGATAAAACCATAAGGTACAGAAAGTCAGTTATTAGTGCCGATGTGCTTGTTAGATGTGTACATCTTTATGTAGCAGTAAAAAAAACCATTTGAATTTAGTTTTAGACTTTAAAGGAGAGTTAGTAATTGTCGTAAGTATGTAAGGTGATGCAGCTTTAATGATGCTTTGTAAGAAAATTCAGAGTTCATAATTTCATGATGATGCTGGAAAAGAGTGGACAGCAGCATAAAGTAAACTCTCCATATTCTCCTCTATCAGCTGACTGAAAAAGATTTCAGCTAAGAGTCTTAATGTTAATCAGTCAAAGATGAGTTTAAGTCTCATTTGACTGGCTTATGTGAACTAGAAGCTAAATTGCTTTGCCTACTTTTTACTTTGCAGAAGGGTCTCTACCCCCCCCCCCCCCCCATGACCTGATTTCATTTGAAGTAGCTAGAATTCGAAATTAGCCAATACTTTAAGCTCTAACATGCTTAAAGACTTAGTGAAGCATTATTATCACAATGAGCTAGACTTCTACTATTCTGACTACATACAGATAGGAAATCAGTTAGGAAAACATTTAAAACCAACTTTTTCTTAAAAAAATGTCAACTAAATTTGATCTATCCCTATAATCAGTCAGAAAACTAAACAAGTATTACGTCTGGGGGATAGGGCCTGAACTCACATGAAGTAATCCGCAAACTCTTTTTTTAAAGAGCTTTAGTAAAATCTACTCAGAATCATACAACTTGTAGTCAAACACAGGATGCTATTTATGGCAATACAAATAATAAAGGAGACCTCTCACATATTTATGACCTAAAAACAAACAAAAAATATTTTTATGTTGTAAAAATGAAGCTAATCCACGTGCTAACACTGAACTACAACCTTCCTGAGCCGTTGACCATTTGTTTGGTTTGATCCTTGATAATGATATAATGACCACCACATTTACTGCAGTCCTTTCTTATGTGATATTTGAATTAAACTCCTCTCAGCATACAGATGCATAGTTTGTTATAGTTAAATTAACTTTATCTACAAAATAACAGTTAATTTCACTACAGTAGTTTTCTAAACAATAAGCCTTAATGGTTCACCAAACTTAGAGCGATGTGAAGGTAATTGATTATTTATTGTATAGAATTTGCATTCATAACTAAGAACAATATACTTTATGGCTGTTATTGTGTGCAGGGTGTGGGACAGTCGTACGTGGCAGGTGATCAATACTTTTCCAGCAAAGCAGTACATCCAGACCCACTGTGACGTTTCTCCCAATGGCAACTACTTGGTGTCCAGCAGCAACGGCTTTGGAGGCCAGGGTAGTGAAGCCACGGTGAGATCATGGGTGTTTGTGTCATTTCCTTTTAGCTATTAGATGGTGTATGGAGACCGTTACTGACCTTTTATTTTAACTAAACTGTCATGAAATGTTTGAGTGAGGTATCCCGTTTGTGCGATATTCTTGAGACATTTGATATAACGGGTAGTTCTAAGCAGAGTTGCATCTATGTGTTTTTAGCTGTGGGACCTGCGCCAGCCTGGCTGTAAAGTTGTGGAGTACAGAGGTCATCATCAGACCACAGCGTGCTGTGTGTTTCTGCCCGTGACTCCTGGTGGCACAGCTCGGGTAGCAACGTCCTCTCACGACAGCTCTGTGAAGATCTGGGATCAGAATACAGCAGGTAACACCTCCAGCTCATGAATAAAACAAACACACGCTCAGAAATATGTACAGTGGTTTGCAAAAGTATTCATACCCCTTGAACTTTTCCATATTTTGTCACATTACAACCACAAACATAAATATATTTCACTGGAATTTAATGTGAAAGACCAACACAAAGTGGTATACAATTGTGAAGTGGAAGCAAAATTTTACATGAATCAAAACATTTTTTACAAATAAAAAACTGAAAAGTGCGACGTGCAAAAGTATTCAGCCCCCTTTTCCCTGAGTGCAACCAATTGCATTCAGAAGTTGCCTGATGACTGCTAATGACTCAAAAGGGTCCACCTGTGTGTAATCTAATCTCAGTACAAATACAGCTGCTCCGTGACGGCCTCAGATGTTGGTTAAGAGAATATTGGGGAGCAAACAGCATCATGAAGTCCAAAGAACACACCAGACAGGTTAGGAATATGGTTTTGGAGAAGTTTAAAGCAGGCTTAGGTTATAAAAAGATTTCCCAAGCTTTGAACATCTCACGGAGCACTGTTCAATCCATCATCCGGAAATGGAAAGAGTATGGCACCACAGTAAACCTGCCAAGACAAGGCCGTCCACCTAAACTTACAGGCCGAACAAGGAGATCACTGATCAGAGAGGCAGCCAAGAGGCCCATGGTGACTCTGGATGAAATGCAGAGAGCCACAGCTCAGGTGGGGGAAACTGTCCACAGGACAACAATTAGTCGTGCACTACACAAATGTGGTCTTCATGGAAGAGTGGCAAGGAGAAAGCCATTGTTAAAAGAAAACCATAAGAAGTCCCGTTTGCAGTTTGCCAGAAGCCATGTTGAGGACACAGCAAACATGTGGAAGAAGGTGCTTTGGTCAGACGAGACCAAAATTGAACTTTTTGGCCACAATGCAAAACGCTATGTGTGGCGGAGAAAGAACACTGCACATCACTCTGAAAACACCATCCCCACTGTCAAATATGGTGGTGGCAGCATCATGCTCTGGGGGTGCTTCTCTTCAGCAGGGACCGGGAAGTTGGTCAAAGTTGATGGGAATATGGATGGAGCCAAATACAGGGCAATCTTGGAAGAAAACCTGTTGGAGTCAGCAAAAGATTTGAGACTGGGGYGGAGGTTCACCTTCCAGCAGGACAACGACCCTAAACATAAAGCCAAAGCTACAATGGAGTGGTTTAAAAAAAAGAATATTCATGTGTTAGAATGGCCCAGTCAAAGTCCAGACCTAAACCCAATTGAGAATTTGTGGCAAGATCTCAAAACTGCTGTTCACAAACGCTCTCCATCCAATCTGACTGAGCTTGAGCTGTTTTGCAAGGAGGAATGGGCAAGAATTGCAGTCACTAGATGTGCAAAGCTGGTGGAGACATACCCTAAAAGACTTGCAGCTGTAATTGCAGCAAAAGGTGGCTCCACAAAGTATTGACTCAGGGGGGCTGAATAATTTTGCACATCGCACTTTTCAGTTTTTTATTTGTAAAAAATGTTTTGATTCATGTAAAATTTTGCTTCCACTTCACAATTGTATACCACTTTGTGTTGGTCTTTCACATTAAATTCCAGTGAAATATATTTATGTTTGTGGTTGTAATGTGACAAAATATGGAAAAGTTCAAGGGGTATGAATACTTTTGCAAACCACTGTATTTAGTGCATCCATAGAGCTAATCAAGCTTATTGTTAGGCGATGGCCCTCTTTTTCATGTGACTAACATGTTTGTCCATATGGAGGCAGTGCTTAGAAGGCTGAGTTCACCTGAAACTCATCAGACTGAAGAAGTCTCTTGGAGGAGAGACGAAATGTTTCACTAAAGAAGAACGCATCCAGAGGACCTACTTGTTTTTTCTTTTTGATTTTTTCTACCTGGATTACTGAGATGCATCAGGACACTTAGTGCATCCTGGTTTCTTTAGGAATTCAAGGTCTTAATTTATGTTTTACTGTCTAACTAGTTTTTTGTAAACTTTTCAGCCTGTTTGGGGACGTTGCCTTTGGACGGTGCCGGTCCTCTGGTTTCTCTGGCTCCCAGTGATTCTACCAATCTACTGTGTGCCAGCTTCAACAACGGTCTCCATCACATCCAAGTGGACCAGGGTTCCCACTTGGCTCAGGGTTCTGGTGCAGGTCCAGGTGGCACAGGAGACCTGGACATTAGAGTCGTGGCACGTTTTTGACAACACTTAAGAAGAACCTGATATGACTTGTAAAACTGACCCTTGAGCACCCAGATACTCAAAGATTTTTATTGGCACATTTATTTTGACAAACTGAGAGGATCTTCAGAAGAGGTGTGGCAACAATAGGAGCACATGTGAGGAGGACACACTATTTGTCCAGCAGAAGACACCCATCGCTGCGTCTCATCTGGACAAAGTTTCTTGTGGTAAAAGAACATGAAATCAAAAAACCAAATAGAAAAATAAACAGGACTGGATTAACCTTTCCCATTTTATAGATATTTATCATGTAAAGGTGCAAGTTAAGAATCAAATGAAGGGTCCATCATTTCAGCTGGCTGATTTAAGTGTTAACTGGATCTACAAACACTGACACCTTATGAATCTGAAGCTTTTAAAGCACTGTGTTGCTCATGTGGTCCAGTATTTTTGGGACCAAAAGAGAAAAACTGGAATTCATTATGTTTTATAAACCTACCAGTGTAGACCAAACCAGCAGCTATTTGCTGAAATGCTTTTTGAAATGTTTGTGTGGTGAACACAGGGTCACACATAATAGAACTTTAAAAAAATCTCTTTAATGTTTGATAGTAGCTTTAAACTGAAGACGCCACGTCTTGGTGATCATAAAGCCCACAATTTGTCTGTAATACGTTTTAACTGTCTTTGCCCCCCCAAAATGCAGAAACACTGTAACGCTGCCTGGACTTCAAAAGACACCCCCCCCCCCCCAAAAAAAAAAAAGGAGCCATCTGAGTCAGTTCATGTCTCTTAGAATATTGTGTTATTTAATTAACAGTAAAAGAAATAGAAATATAGGCATCAAAGGGGAGCTGGAATTATGGAAATAAACTATTTTTTGTTTCAGGTGAGGATATTATACCAGGAGTATGTATTTTTTGTGTTTTACTTTATAGATAACTTTGACGAGTTATGAGGTTAACAAATCAAAAAAATAATGAGTTGTCAGATATTTTTTTATTGGAATTCTATTATCTTAAACATCAATCTGTAAAATCAGTTTCTATTCCCACGTGGAATTTCTTTTACTTTTCAAAATGTTTTTTTTTATTAAGCTACTCATAGTTGATGTTTTATGTTGATAGATAATGAGCTTCTGTTAAAGTAATTATGCAAATAGAGTGTAAAGCTCACTGCCAGCTTCTTGGTTTGACAGTTAGGAAATCCATTATAGTTTATTAAATTATTGAAAATGGACAAGATTTGAATTAGAGTAATCTTGTGTTTGACATGCAACTTAAATATTAGTAATCATGTCATTCAAATCAGCTTAGACACAAAATAAAGCAACAAAACACATCAGGAAAACTGAGGAGTGTTTGATATCTGCCAGTAAAGCCATACATTTATTTCATATTGTTACATACATAACTTATTTTTAGGTTTACTTTTTATTTAAATTATTCTACCTACTAGGAACATTTTGAATTCTCATTGTGCAAAGAGCAGTCTGATTGGATATGTCCCGTTTTCTCATCGTTCATTTGTTCTATCAGTTTGTAATCATAGAGAAATATGGTAATTATAACAGGGCTGTAGACGGATTTGTTGCAAACTTTTGTATCTTTTTGAGACTAAGATCAGTGTTCATGCACGTGTGTTACGTTTGAATGCATCTGTACACATGTCTAGTTGTAAAACTGGTTTCACAACTGATTATTTGTTTTCCTTGTTTTGGTTTTGTGAAAACAAACAAACAAAAAAATGCAACTGTCCAATGAAACAAAATACGGAAGCGTATTGCTATCAGGCAGGGAAAAAAAAAATCCGAGCGCTATCACGTTATAACGTGATAGCGCTCGGATTTTTTTTTTCCTGCCTGATAGCAACACGCTTCCGTAACAAAAAGGGCTGTTAGACAACACGTGAGATTTCTCAGAGCCTCCTAGTGTCAGAAACACTAAAACTACAAGAGATCATAAATAATGCAGAATAATGTTGGATTTATTAGGCGTGATTGTTACAGATGTTTCATCTAAAAGCAGATGACTAGTTCAGACTGGCTTCCAAATGCACTCATATGAGCATTCATTGGCAGTACATACAAAAATTAAACAACTTTCAAACTGAATCCAACTCCCTAAATTCATGAATAAATCAGGAAAATAAGACATTCAGTTATGCAGCGGTGTTTATTCAAATCTGGACCTCACTTCCCTAATAGCAAGTTTTTATAAAGACACTGAAACAACGTAGACATCAGCAAGCAGAACAGTTTGATTCTCGCCACATCACTCGGGTACAGAAATATGAAAAGAAATTTGTAAAAAGTCTAAAACTTCATAAGGTTGAAATTACTTAAAAAGTTATACATAACTGTCTTAAAGCAAAATACAAAAAAACCCTACATTATTGGCACCACTTATATAAAAAAAAACAGGCCATTAAGAGAAACAGACAGGATACAGTACAGTTATACAATGAAGAGGAGAAAAAATATCTGCTTGTAGCATTAAAAAAAAAAATTGATACTGATAATAAAAAAAAAAACATTTTGAAATCTTCACTTAATTTCAGAGAACAAATTTGAGTTTTAAATCCTAACCCAGCAGCAGTACAGTATGACATMTTTTATATTGCAACTATTCATGGTGAACCGGGTAACCCCTTTCAACAGTACAGCTATTTGCCACTTTGATAAAACACACACACACAGATGCTGCCTATCGTCTTTAAACACAGAAAAAACTACAGCTAGAATGATCTGTAGGCTAATACATCATGAGACAAATCAGGACAAAAAAGTATTTTCTCAGGTCAGCTGCTTTCGTGTTTTAAAATATTTCAAAATGCACCTTTATGTCCTGAACTTTAGCACTAGAGTACTGAATGAATGAGAAAAGCATGAGTGTTTAGGCCTTTTTTTTATTTTTGCAAATGTGAGAATTTGGTCTACAGATTTCAATAATTAAGTGTAAAAACAAATCAGTACAGAAAAAGACAATTACTCAAAAATCAAACCAATTTCAGGCTAATTCGTCACATTATATAAAAACAAAACTTTAAAGTTCTGACCCAAGGCAGTCAACAGCATGCAACAAAATCTCGTGACTTGAAATATACGAGTTATCGCGAGCTGCAAGAAAGAAACTGGGAATGTTTTGGCAAAACAAGAAAAAACAACACAACCAGACTTCAGATATGTATGGATTTGTTAAATTTGCCCGGAACACTAATTTCATGAGCATGTTGAAAAAGGCAAAATAAGAATGATAACTAATTCAGTCATTGTACTAAAATGCTCAGGAATGTGGGCTGCTGGGAAATAGCCAGTTTCTTCGTCTGAACCTAATAAAACAGAATCTTTTACCACCAAGACTTTTAAAAGCTGAGAAAACAATTTTTATACGTCAAAGTTTCTTCCACTCATTGGCCTGCTTCAGAGGACATTAAATACTGATCCACGAGCCACGTGATGCTCAAACTGCATCTTTCACTCCATCAAGTTAAAAAAAAAGTAGTAGAGGACGTATACATCAGGTTCACAATAACTTAACGGAGACTATTAAAACAGTGCAATATAAAAGGTAATTGAAAGAGAGAAGAAAACAAAAAAAAAACTGATATTCCAGAAATAACACCGACAGTGTTTTAACAGTGTTAGACTAATGGATGGAAAACCATCTGATGATGATGAAACATCAAATGATCAAATTTAAAATCCAACTAGAAGCTCAAATCTTCACAATAATTCCACAGTAACAAARCATTAAATAAAATGTTGGGTTTGGTCTGGATGTAAGGCATGAACAAAATTTTACCTGCAACACACACACACAAAAAATAAAATAAAACATTCAAAATGCAGAGAGAGAGACATGATTTCATTTCACGGTGTGTTGGGCGAGTGAGTCCCTGAGATTTTGCTGGCCGTCGGTGCCGTTTCCAGGTCTAATGGTGACGTTTAAAAACAGCACTTTTTTTCAAGCTCCACCCCCACAAGAGAAAAATCACACACACTTTCTCACAACACTGTGGGTTTGTGACTCACTGAAACAAACTACTTTCACATGTTTACACATTTTAGATGGAATAAATAAATCTTACTGTAGACTACTTATCTTTAAAGTTTTACATAGTATTTATAAGAATGTACCAGTTTCAGCCGGGTGTAACACTTAACTCGCTTTTAGCAGTTTCAAAAAGAGGATTGTTTTTGTTTTATGAGCAAAAATGAGTTACAACCCCWCAGATTATTAAAGAGGATTAAAACCCATTTATTTATAATATTTATTGGTGCTTCAGCCAAAGGAAAGGAAAGATCTTAAATTATGAATCTTCACAAATTTAGCTGATGTCAGACTGATAACTTTCTGGTCGGTGTATAAAAACCTGCTAAATTCTTAATAAATAAAAGGGAGTTTGGTTTATCTGTACAGCTCCCAGTCAGATCCCGAGGGTATTTTTCTTATCTTATTCCCAAAATAAACTCAAACCTTTAAAACATTGTGTTCAAATCTAGTTTCGCCCCCGACCTGTAAAATACCTGGTAGTTGTGTTTCTGATGTTTTGTGTAGAAAACAGTAATGTTTTAATCCTCCGCCTCCCAGAACCCATCCTTCCAACTGTGAGTCTTACTGCTCCCCGGGCCGCTCCAGGCTGTCTATGATGCGGCTCAGCCTGATGTTGAGCAGCCGGACCTGAGTGTCCAGGTGGTCGATTTTCTCTTCCAGCGAACCGGACCCGCCTCCCCGGCGCCAGTACGCTCCCACGGGCCCCGTCATGAAGTACACCGCCATGATGAAGCACAGCGGCAGCACCACGCGCTCGGGGTCACCCTCGAACTTCTGCAGGATGTAGAGGCAGGACAGGGCGAAGAGCGCCACCCGGACGAGCCAAAAGAAGCGCCCAAAAATGGCGTGCAGCAGATAGAAGAAGCCCCACAGGAACATGGCGAGGAAGTAGTAGGCCAGAAGGACAGCGGAGATCAGGACCATGACGCGAGTCGGGGAGTTGGTCAGAGACGTGACGCTGAAGTAGTGGCTGAGGTTTGAAGCTACATGAAGAACACACAAAAAAAGGGGTTGAGGGGGAAAGGTCTTCACCAATTTGACATTTCTAACTGAACTGCTTTAAATATAGTTAAAGGCTTACAATCRATGCCCATCACATCCAGCAGATCTGACCAGATCTTCCAGATGGTGTCTACAAAAGAGTCCACTCCATGGACGAATCGCTCCGTTGCTTTGGAGAAGAACTACAAACAGAAGAAAACAGCATCACGGTTAGTTTGTCTGAACGCACTATTTGTAACAAGAAACGACATCCCAGTCAGTGGGTCTACTGTTGTTATGCTGATCTTTCTTCCTCTAGTTGACTCTGCTCAGTTCATCATCTCCTGTCTTGTTGAAAAGTAGCTATTTAAACAAGTTTTAAACTGTGAAAAGACTTAATGTGCAGCTGAAGTTTTTGGCTCTTCTCTGCATAGATCTCACACACACACACACACACACACACACACACACACACACA